GGGTTTAGGGTTGGAAGACTTGGGGTTGAGGGTTTAGTCTGGGGGCTTTCAAGGGTTGAGAGGGATCTACTTAAAGGGTCATGGGACTTAGTAAGTAGGGTTATAATTGAGGTAGCTATACTTATATCTACTTGTAACCGCAATTAAGGGGCTTATAACCCTACCTTACTAAGTCCCATGATCCTCCAAGTAGGGTTAGGGGTCGCAATAGGGGTTAGGGGTCACGAGGCATTGCCATACATTCTTCCAAAGTGGGTCTGCAGGGGACCCCCTGCCTCAGAATGGAGCCAGACCACACCTGGGGTCTGGACGTGGAGGTGGACTACGCCAACACGCTCCTGAGGTTGCGTTTGGCGGTGGCCGGCACCAGCACTGGCAAGGAAGTGCTCAAGAGGGTGCGCTCCAGGACGGGCTACGCCCTGACGCGCCTGACGCTCGGTGCTCGACGAGCCCTTGCACCTCCACCTGCCGGCGGACACAAGCTTGCTCCGCGCCACCGGCTCACCGGATGATGCGATCCCGGTGGAGTACCACGGGCCTCCCATCGTCTCGCCCGACCTGCGTTTTTGCATGGCGTGCCGCGTTCGCACCGGCAACCCCAGACAGCGGAAATCCCGCGGAAACGTATTGGAGCCTTCGAAGCATTGGGTCAGGGTTGGGGGCCAGTTATGAACGCCGGCAAAGCCTTTGACGTTTTCGTCAAAATAACCACCCATACCCCAAATCCGAATAGGTACATCCTTGATACCCGAGAGCCCTATACCCTGCTCATTGCAGGACATTTCTTCCCTCTGTCAGAAAGAGAAGCTGAACTCGAAACACCCTTTTTAGATCCCCAATAGAATACGGCACCCTTACAAAGAGGACACTAAAAGGGACCCTCATTTAGAGAATAATGGTACCCATATATTGTCCATTTCATAGAGCCCTCCTAAACCCTAAACCCAAAACCCTAAACCCTAAATCCTAAACCCTAAATCGATCCGACCGGGCAGGTCATGCCTGTCGAGGAGGTTGGCTTGCGGACTTTGCGGGATGCGCCGCACGGCCTCATATGGGAGTTCCTTATTTTGGGGTCCTTATAATAGGGATCCGACTATTTAGGGTACTATATTAAGGTCCCCTATTTTCGGAAGCTCCCATATCTCTGGGGCTTCGTTTTTTTTTTTTCTTCTTGTTTGGGTTTAGGGTTTTGAGGTCTACCTGGAGGATCATGGGACTTAGTAAGTAAGGTTATAAGTCCCTTAATTGGGGTTATAAGTATAGGTACCTTAGTTATAACCCTACTTACTAAGTCCCATGATCCTTTAAGTAGGGTTTAGGGTTTCGGTTTTGGGGCCTCGTTTCTTTTTTTCTTTTGAATTTCGGACCTGGGTCGGCTCTCTCCTCAAGTTTTCGGGTTTTTTCATCTTGGGCGTCAGCTTTTGATTTGAGGCATCGGTTTTGTTTACAGTTCAGCGGTTCAGGGTTTAGGGCTTAGGGCCTAAACCTAAACGCTAAAGCCTAAACCCTAAACCGCTTAGGGCCACGTTTAGGGTAGGATTCTGATTCCAAGGTTTAGGGCTTTCGAGCCTTCGGGGGGACGCAGCAGCAATTGCCATCTGTCAAAGTCTGAGCCCCCAGGGTCCAGAGTGGTTCAGGGTTTATGGTTTAGGGTTCAGGATTTATACTGGAAGTACATGCATATGTGTGGGTTTATGGTTTAGGGTTTAGGACTTAAAGTTTACGGTTTCGGTTTTGACACTTCTGGGTTTACCGCTGGTGCCCGCACTACGGCTGCACCCGCACATTGCTTACAGGTCCCTCTTAGGATCCTTTTCATAAGGGTGCCGTACTTTCTCGGTGCACCCATCCTCAGCCTCTCATATAGGGGCCTTGATAATTAGAATAGGGTTTTAGGGCCCATGATACTAAAATTATAATAAGAAGCCCCTAGAATAGTGTTGGTAATTACTTAAACCCTAAACCCTAAATCCTGAACCCTAAACCCTAAACCCTAAACCCTAAATGTTAAACCCTAAACAAACCTCAGGCCCTTACATTATATGGGAATTTCCGAAAATAGGGGACCCTAATATAGTACCCTAAATAGTAGGATCCTTATTATAAGGAGCCCAAAATAAGGTACCCCCAATTTTCGGAAACCCCCATATTAATGATAAACCCTAAACCCTAAACCCTAAACCCTTCGGAAACCCCATATAAGTCCTCTGTCTTCCTGTCCCCGATGCTCAGGCATCTCTCTTCGACCCGTGGTGTCGGTATCGTGCTTTGGCGCACCTAAAAACCCAAACCCTAAGCCCCAAACCCTAAACCCCAAACCATACCTGTAACCGAAAAGACCTACCTTTTAAGGAGCTATACACAAAACCCTAATAAGGAACCCTAAAAAAAGTAGGTCTTCCAGGCGACAGGTAAACCCTAAACCCCACACCCCCTAACTCCCAAACCCTAAACCCTAAGCCTTAAACCCCAAACCCCAAACCCTAAACAAACCCTTCACTGCCCTAGACCCCCAAACCGTAAAGCCTCAGCCCTAAATCCCAAGCCCCAAACCCTAAACCCTAAACCTGGGGTGCTCACTCGGGACACCCAGGCTTCAACCGTATGGAGGGGAGGGCGAGGCCTTAGAAGATACACCAGGTAACCGGTGCTAACCCCAATTATAACTGTAACACCAATTAAGGTACTTATAACTTCACTTAAAAAGTCCCATGATCCTCCAAGTAAGGTTTAGGGTTTAGGTCGGAGAGACCCAGCATGATGTGTAGCGCTAAGGTTGCTCATCACAGGGATCCGGTCATTTTGGCTTCTCGAGTTGAGGTTTAGGCCTTAAGGCTTCGACAATACGGTTGAAGTGCAAAAGCCTCCAACACCGAACTCTCCTTGGTAATCATAGAGCGGTAACCCGTTCAGGGACTTCACACATAGGTTGCAACTCGAGTTTCAAGTAGGCTTACACCGCTTGGGGCATTTGCGGCTCTACTTGTTTACTTCTTCAATCCTTTTGCCTTTAGTAGAGCCTGGGTGCTAAGTTGTGTTCGAATACTGCTGGGTGTAGCCCTGTGCTCGCAGGACCGTGGTCATAATCATAAGTACGGGTTGTTGTGAACTGCAGCTGCCTACTACGCTCCTGATCCTGCAAGCCGGTCAAGTTGCGGCATGTTGACGCGTGCTGTTTCGGCTCTCCTCGGAATACGATCGGTGGCTGGATGCTTAGTGAAAGTGCCCTCATAGTAGCTGTACAAGCCTATTATGTATGATATATCCAAGCACTCGAACTATCAGCATCCCTGTGCTACAGAACCCGCTTAGAGCGCCACAGAGCCCTCTTCTAGCTATTCAGTGTTCACCCTAAACCCTAAACCCTAAACCCCAAACCCTAAGCTAGCCACATCTGACATCGAGGCACGGTTCCTGACATTACGAAGGCCATAGACCTAATGTCGGGTCTACTCTTCAGGGATTCTAAGTCCAAAGCCCCAAACCCTAAGCCCACACATGGCATGTACTTCCAGTATAAAAGGCACCGAACCCCGAGTCGCGTTATTCAGGCCGCCTAAACATCAAGTCGACATCACGCGGCGCCTTCCCCAACCCTGGGCTTGAATCCGGTTTTTTTGGCGCCTCTTGCCAGCATGCTGCGCGTCGGGAAGCTTTCAGGGGAAGAGGTCGCAAGCATTCCCATCGGGCAGCTTAGCGATGTGAAGACGTTGAAGCAACGACTGCATCAGCAGCACGGGCTGCCACCACGCTTCAGACAAAGGCTCCTTCACGAGGGCAAGACCTTGGATGACGCCGTGGAGCTGGATTCTGTGATGGATTTGCAGGCCGTTGCTTCGACGGCCTCGGATACTTCCGCGAGTGAGCGGACGGAGCTGCAGGTGCTTACTTTGGCGCTCCCAGGTGGCACTTTGGGAAACTGTATATTGTCCTTCATGGATATTACAAAGATATCGTTCCACAAATATTTTTAAGGGCCCGACAACACTAAACCCTGAACCCTGAGCCATAAACCCTAATATAGCGGCCTAAATAATTACCAACACTACTGTGGAGGTGCCTCATGATATTGTAGTGTAATATACCCCAAAACCCTATTCTACTTATTAAGGCCCCTAAACCCCAAACCCACGTAGTAGCCCTTATAGAACCCTTTAAGGAACCCTAGAACCCCAAAACCCTATTCTAATGAAGAAGGCTTATTTGTAAGCTCCAGAACTTAGGCTCTCTGAGGCTTCGGGTCTCCAGGCGCAAGAGCTGTGGGAGGCCGCCGGACAGGGTCGCGCAGCCGAGGCAGGGGGGAAACTGAGCAAGGCCGGTGCTTTCCGGCTTAGGGTACTACTACTACTTCTCCTACTACTACTACTACTACTACTCTACGACTACGACTACGACTACTACTACTACTACTACTACTACTACTACTACTACTACTAACTACTACTACTACTACCACTACTACTACTACTACTACTACTACTACTACTACTACTACTTGTTGCAGGGTCGTTGGACTTATTGATAACTAAAAAATGTTTCTAACTCCAACTTCAGGTACTCATATCCTTGCTTACTGCATCCCATGATCCACCACTACCACCACCACCACCGCCACCACTACCACCACCACCACCACCACCACCACCACCACCACCACCACCACTGCCACTAAGATCCATAGACCCGCTGGCTTGGACCGATTTCGCAACGCCTTCTGGGCATCTTTAGCTTGACGAGCCAGGCCTGTAGTATGACGTCGGCACCCAGACTTTAGGTGGTTCGGGATAAGTGTTGTCAGCTGTGCCTGCGTAAGGCCGGCGAGAGCCCGATCCTGTCAACCTTAAACCTCCCCCAAAAGCTAATTCCACCAAGTAAAGCCTAACTCGCCCCCGCCCCACTCCCTGACCCTAAACCCCAAACCTAAACCCTAAACCCTAAACCCCGAACCTAAACCTCGACCCTCAACCACAAAAAAGCGAAGAAACGACCTCCGCAAGGTGCCTCCGAGGATCCTAGCGACTCAGACTCCGAGGCGGTTGTGCTGCGCTTTTTCTGTCAGGGAACTTGAAGTAGGGTTCCTTTAAGGGTTTAGGGTTTAGGGTTTAGGGCAGGGAACTTGAAGTAGGGTTCCTTTACCCAAACCCTCCAGGTACCTACCATATAGGGCCTTAGGGGCTCTAGTACCCTATATAATAGGAACTTGTTGGGTTAGGGTTAAGGGCTCAAAAGGGTTTAGGGTTTTAGGGTGCGTGTGTCCACACGGTACCATTCACGTCGAGTTTATTCTCGGACTTGGCTGGAACCCGGGTTACCTGTGACCAGCACTGTGTTGGTTAGTGGGCCTGGGGCCATTGTCCATTTGTCCTGCTGGTTTTTGGTGTGCTGGTTTCGGATCAAAAGCTCAAATGCCCTGCTGGTAGCTTCCTTGCCATTGGTTATTCGACAACTTTTGCATGTGCAGATATCCCCCAGCTCAGAACAGTACAGGGATGGACGCTCTTTAGCACCTCTGTTGATTGAGCGCTTACCACCTGTATTCTACCGATAATATAGCGGCCTTAATACTTACCTATACTATTTTGGGGGTTCGTTAGTATAATTATAGTATAATGGGCCCCAAAAGCCTATTCTAATTTTTAAGGCCCCTACATTACCACCAGCCCGCGAACGCGCGCACTGCCCTCAACATCGCCAGATCTCTGCTTCGGAGAGCAAGGCAACCCCACGGCAGAGGTCGAAGAAGGGACCCAGTTCTGGAGGTGTTGGGTTTAGGGTTCAGGATCTGTCAAGTTCGCAAATTTTCAGATGCATTTTAGAGCTTCTTCGGGATGACGGTGTTGTGCTGGTGCTCTTCCTGAAGACTGTGATGTATGTTTATCGAGGGTTGTTTCGCGTCCATAGCTTCGGGATTTGGGGTCTCGGGATATTGCGCTCTTTGCTGGTGATTGTTCGGTATTTAATTACGGTTTCTTCTGTCCTGCAGTTTCAACCCTAAACCCTAAACTCCTAAACCCGATCACCCCTGTCAGCCTTGAGCCAGTTTAAGGTGTTTACGGAGCAGGGTTTAGGGTTTAGGGTTTTCGTGTTTAGGGAGCAGGGCTTGCGGCTTGGAACTCGGTGCACTGACCAAGAGGTTGCGATTGCTTACACAATCATCCTGCGAAATCGTGCATCTACCTACAGCCCAAAAGACCCTACTTTTGAAAGCTTCAAAAGCTTTATAACGAACCGTAAAAGTGTAGTTTCTCTGGGCCATAGTTTAGGGGGAGATTCTGGCAGCACACCCACAAATCTCCACACCAAAGCCCTCCCATTCCCGATCCCTCTTCTTTGCCAGAGTCTTTTGGACCCTGAACCCTGAAGCCCTATATTCCTGAAACCTATAGCCGAAAGCCCTAAAACCCATGAGCCCTCAAACCTCACACCATCAAACTTAGTCTCAAAGCCACGGAAGTCTGCACAAGCAGGGCAAAGGACTTTGAGAACGTCCTGGGCCGCTTCCACCGGGACTTCGAGCCTAGAGGTAGGGATACTCAGTACGCCTCCGTCCTGTCAGAAAAGAAGTTTTATAGTTTAGGGTTCAGGGTTTAGGGGAGTTAAGAAGAGTTCTCCGCTGCCAGAGCTCTATGTAACTACATCGTCATCTACACACATATATATATATATAAGCACCTCTTTATATATATATATATGTATATACACATGAGATACACCCCAAGACCCTCTTCCAATTGTTTAAGCCCGTTAGAAAAAGGCCTAGACTCAACCCTAAAGGGGTTTAGGGATCAGAGGGGTTGAGGGTGTAGAGTTTCGTAGCGAAACCTGTTTGGAAACCTCAAAGACACGGGCTGTCCGAAAGCTAAACCCTAAACCCTAAACCCTGAAACCCTAAAGCCCTAAAACCCTAGACCCCTAAACCCTAAACCCTAAACCCTAAACCCTAAAACCCTAAAACCCTAAACCCTAAACCCCTAAACCCTAACGCCCTTGAGCCCTTGAGCCCGAAGTCTGCAGGCCCTTCCGAGGCATCTCCGAAGCCCATGCCGGCCACGGAGGCGCCGGGGATTCCTGATTCCTAGATAGGTCCATAGATCCCTAGGTAGGTCCATCGATCCTTTTAGGCCTCTAAAGCTTCAAGCGATCTAAAGCCGCATTTATCCTGATCAAGCCCAGGAAAGCTCGAAGATTCGATTTCACTTCAGCACCGAGTTCTCTGCATCTGAGAGGCGCTCTTCCACGCGGCCAGGGCGGGCAACTACAACGCCCGAGCCTATCTCGACTTGGGGTTTCGGGTTGAAGGCTTTGGTTTAGGGTTTAGGGGAAAAGGATTTGCTTAGGGTTTAGGAGCCGGAACTACTCTACTACTCGTACAAACTCGATATTGCTGACACTCGTTCTTTTGCAAGCAGAATATGTAGTACCCTCATTGAGCATCCTTGAGCCGTTGCTCCATGACTTGAGGCCCAGGCTGGCCTTAAGATTCTTAGTACTTTTATTATTTGGATTGCTATCACTGCTGCTATAGTCATTCTTCTTAGTACTATTATCGTTATTGTGACTATAGTGGATATCGGTTTCGGTCTCATTGAGTAGACATCCTTCGAAGGCTTATCAGCAAAAAGACAGCTGATGGTGAGCCTGAAGCAGGGGACGTGTAGGGGGCAGATTGAACAGGTGGCAATATAGGGGCCTCAATAATTACCTATACTATGTTGGGGGGGTTCCTTTCTTTTATTTATAGTATAAGATACCCAAAACCCTAATCTAATTATTAAGGTCCCTATATTATTCATGTTCCTGTCACACAGTTTGTCGCGAACAGGGGACACCAGACCCTATTTAAACACTACAATGCAGAGATGTGGCTCAAACTGCTCGCGTCCCTGTTTCTTGCCCGCGCATTCGCGGCGGCTCCCATGGCAGCTTGTGACGACTCTGGGAAGGCGTGGCCAGCGACGAATCGGACCGTCGATTAATGAAACAATCGTACGAGACTGATACTATAAATTACTGAAGTCCATCTCTCTATAAGATAAGACTGGTTCTCGCATGAAACCTGTACGGCGTGAAGTTCAGCCCTTGAGCGGATACCTATCGCATGCCGTTTTCTGAAGCATGGCAAGTGTCGCATGACTTGCGTGCCTAAGTTTTCAAGCAGGACTCAGGGGAGGATGGGGAGGACGAGGAGGAGGAGGAGGAGGAGGAGGAGGACAACGACGAGTCGCGGTGGTGGCAGCGATCCGATGGTGGTCATGAGCATCAAGTATTGTTGCCGTTGCCGATGACGGCACGTGATCACGACCACGACGATCACATTTGTTGGTATGACTTGCATTGGGCGGGCCACGGTGGGTCTGGCTAAGGCGAACAAGATCATGATCGGAAAAGATCGATGGCCATAGCGATGACAAGCTCTGTGTTGTTTTTGTTTATGGTCGTGATGATGACGATGACGGTGGCGATCACGCTGATACCTGTGAAGGTTGTCATGGTGACGGAGAACGATGCTCAAGATCAGGAGGATAATGGCGAATGACACGATGACCATGCTGTCGGTGATCATGAATACAATGATGAAGACGATAATGATGGTGCGATGTTAGCGGTTGAGGCGTTGGCAGTTGTGGTGCTGTTATCCAGCCAAGTATTTATTACATCTACTATCGGTCTTCCGATTTATCTATTTATCTATCTACCTATCTGTCTATATATCTGTCTATCGATCTATCTTTCTACTTACCTACCATCTATCTGTCTATCTGTGTATGTGTGCATTTCCATATTTATCGACATGCACGCATTATGTATGCATAAACTCAAGAACCAATAACCAACGTATTATATTTATGTATGTGTGTGTATATATATATATATATATGGTGCATATATGTTTCCCTATATAGCTGGAGAGATAGATCGGTAGACAGGCAGTTTTATATATATAGAAGTGTGTGCATATGGCTACGATGACGGCTTGCATGATGCTGAGTTTGCCGTGCAGGCAGTGCCCATGGAGACCGATGAGCACCCATCTGCCCGCACACAGGCAGGGTTTAGGGATTTAATATAGGAACCTAAATAATTACCAATACTATGTTGCGTGGTCCTTAATATGGCGAAAGTATAATCTGCCCCAAAGCCATATTCTAATGGGTGCGGGGGGTTGGGGTTAAGGGTTCAGGGTTTAGGGCAGGTTCAGTGGGTCTCGGTGCTCGCAGCAGCAGTTTTTTGGAACCAGGTCCTTGGGAAGAGCCTCCTGCGATTTCAAGAGAAATTATCTTGACTATTTTGTTCGCCATTCTGTTCATGACTCCTGCTTGGAGGCCCCTTCAGGTGGATATGAATGTAGGTCATCAGTTGCGCCTATGGTATTCGAACTATAGTGTTTGGAGTTTCGGGCTTCGGGATTAGGACTCGAGTGGGAGCGCAGGTCCTCGTGGTTGGCGGCGGTTTAGCCGGCCTGACGGCAACAATTGAGGCCGTCACCCGCATGTCGACGGGTTTCGGGCTGACGGTTTCGGGACGAGTAACTTTGGGGAAAAAGGATTGAGGCTCGAGGCTCTGAGATCCAGCGTTGAAGGCTGCAGAGTTGGGGCTTGCTGGTCGGGTGCTTGGCACACCGCGAGACTGCCAAAAAGCTGGGATTAAAGGCAAAGTATTGTCATTTTGCTTTGATGATGCTGAAGACGTCTGAAAGTATAAATGATGTCGAAGACGACGACTTCTCGTAGATGCGCGGTGTTTCGCCTGGCAACTACTACGCGTCACTGCTCGCGCTATTTCGAAGACTACTCGCCTCATGTCTGGCTGAGGCAGCAAAAGCAGGTGCCATGGTCACCATCATCGATAAGGCGAGACTGGCTAATCGTTTGGGCTACGAGGGATGAGATCTTTCAGGGTCAAGGAGCGCAGGAAGCAGGGCTGTACAACCGCCGCTCGTTGGTCTGCTGAGGCCCACACCCCAAAACCCACGGTCTAAAGCCCATCAAACCGCGAAACCCTGCACCTTTTGCAGCCATAGCTTTTCAGACAAGCTCAGTCACCCCCCGCCTGTCATCATACCCAACACATTGTTATGCAGTGCTGTGAATGATTTGTGTAGGGTTGAGTGTCATGGGGTTTGGGTCCATTGGACCCTCAACGCCTTACATCCCGTAGATGACCCTTAAAATATATTGTCTATATAAAAAAGCGGCCTGAACAACTCGCAATCTTTGTTCCTTGAGGTTCCGCATTATGACATCACGATAACACCCCAACCCCAATCCGAGTCGAACTACTGAGCCCCCGAAATTACAGAACCCTTTAAAGGGTCAAAGTTACTAAGTTACTAAGGCCCCTCCCTTCTAGAAGCGCTTAATTCAAAGGAACCCTTCCACGGAACCCGAGTCTAATTTCTAAGGCTCCTGGGTTTGTTCACAGGAGGCACAACTGGGAGGAAACTCTGCCAAGGCATGGACGCGGTTTCTGTGTGGTTTGTTAAGTGTCCGCTGGTGTAAGCTTCAGCGCTCGGGTTCGGGGTATAGTTATAGGATCCTTAAAGGAGGGTGGCTCAAGGGGGGAGGGTCCTCGGGAGCTTCAGGGAACATAAGGGAGTCCTAGGGAGAATTGGGGATTACTGGGTTATATACCCCCCTTAGAACCCCCTCCCTTCAGGATTCCATGATTTAGGGTGTTTCGTAAGAGTTCCGGGATGATGAACAGACGGGCTTCGTGGGCGTTTGGGGATAGGCTTGGGGCTAGAGCTGGGCTTTCAGATTGAGGTTTATACCCATCGGCCCCATAGTAGTTCCTTTTTGTGGTTACCTTATACGATTCTATATATGAACCCCCAAAAGGAACTACTTTAGGGCCTATGGGTTTAGAGCTGGGGCTCCAGATGCTAAGTATCCTCCTGCTGAACCCACAGCCCTAAACCCCCACTGACCTGGCAGACCTCTTGCTTTGCACCTCTCTCAACGAACACGGAATGTAGGGGCCTTAATCAATTAGAATAGGGTTTTGGGGTTCTTTATTATAACTATAGTATGAAATGCCCCAAAACCCTATTCTAATATTAAGGCCCCTATTTTAAACCCTGATACTTGGCTGCTGCACCGGCAAACTCGCTGCTGATTTTTCCGCATGTTAGTTGGAGAATGCAAAATCCAGCAGCCCGCAGTGCATGTACACAGCGTCGAAGCCGGAAGCTGGATTCATGTCGACAGGGTTTAGCGTTTAGGGTTTTAGGTTTACGGTTTAGGGTTGGGCCCAGGTACTTCAGCTAGTTGGTTTACACTCTCTCTGTTTCTCTCTCTCTCTCTCTCTCTTTTTGCATCGTTTCCTGGTTTGCCGCCAGGCAATTGTTATGCAACGGCCACTTTCAGCAGCCTAAGGCTTTGGAGCTTGAAAACCGAGAAGCAGCTCGGAAACCTGAGCAGAGCCCTGAACCCCAAACCCGAGACCCCGAAGCCCCCAGTACCCAAAGATTAGGGTTTAGGGTTTTGGGTTTAGGGTTTAAGGTTCAGGGTTTAGGGTGATCTGAGAGAACACTCCTGATGGGAAGCAGCTGCCGAGGCGTCGTCCGGAATGAACGGGGCCGGGACCGAGGTCCCCCCCATGGTTCGATAGCTTGGGAGGTGAGTGGTGGGTCCAGGGTTGAGGGGTGTAGGGATGTTTGCTCAGAGGGTTTTATGGTTGTGGTTTGGGTCTGGGTGCTGATAACAACGATTCGGATCATTATGGCGCTCGTTGCTGGTATTATTCGTCTTGCTCTTCTACCACTTCCCCCACCACTCAGAAAGGCGCCTCACCGGCTGAATATGGCCATGCGGTCTAGGGGTTTAGGGCTTAGGGTTTAGGGTTCAGGGTGAGCAAATTTGATTTCAGCTGGCCCGCTCTTTGATGAGCCCCATAGTTTGTATATCCGTCCCGGCTTCGAACCCACCGAAGGCGCACCTCACAGCCCAGCGCCGGACAGCTGCATTCCGCAGACTACATTTAGGGTTTAGGGTTTCAGGTTAAGGGTTTAGGGTTAAGGGTTTCGGGCACATGGGCCTACATCGACCAAGCCAAGCTTTGAGATTTGTTTGCAGCCTGCATGAAAGATTCATCAACCGGAAACACCGATTCGCTTCCTCTGGTAACCGAAGTTGAAGTCCAAGACCCTGCTCTGAAGATGTTAGCCTTTCTAAGGCCGTTAAGCCCTAGACCCAAAACCGCAGCTTAAGGGTTCTACACCGGCAGGCACAGAAAGAGTTGGGCATCCGTGACTCCGTGGACCAGTTCGTGGAGGACGGTTTTCAGTGCCTTGGGGTTTTTCATGGACTTTGGGCTTTGGGATTTCAGAACTTTAAGCACCTGGCGCTGGGCATGTTCTGACTGTAGGGGTTTGGGCTGATTCTTGATCGATGGCTGGAAGCCTTACTTCAGACTTCACGTGCTCAAGCTCAGTGCATAGTCCTCCAGGTAGGGACGGGGGCGAAGCCAGAAGCTGAATGCTGAATCCCAACATCCTGCTCTCAGCTTGACTGGGAAATATGAAATCCTCCTGTCAGGATACTTTGAGTTCGGGCGATGGCCTCTCCAGAAGAAAGCTGGCCCAATGCCGAGACACAGCAGTTCTCAGCCTCACCGGTACTGTTGCTGCGTCGATGCTTCGGTTGCTGTGAGGATCATACCCTAGACTTCAATATGTTCTTAGAAGTTCTAAATTTGCGTACCATCACCTTTAGCATACTATTATATATACTTTTGATGTAGTCACGGTGCTTAGGACAATAGCTGCAGGCATCAGACTTGACGAATGCATTTAGAAAGAGTTGACAGGGTGCTTTTCGAGCATCTGGTGCACTCGCAGATCTTTGAGGACTGCGTCGGAGATGTTGCCTCCAGGGTTCAGGATGTAGGCAGCAAGGTTCATGGTTGCAGCTACCGGGGCTGTGGGGGCGTATTCACATTTGGGGTTGAGGGTCAGGGCGGGGTTTGGTTTATGGTGCCCCAACTAGCTATTGGCATCTAACTCGAGGTTTGGCAAGGAGATTGGTGGAAACTTGGAGCCAAAGAGAAAGCCCGCACGGCAAAGCCATAGCCACCACTAAACTCCAAGACTCCTAGAATACCTACCCACAAAAAAGCCCCAAGCCCAATCCCATGGACCTCAAAACCCTACAGAAACCCTATACAAGCCGTACAAGCCCTGAGCTGCATTTTGCCAGCAGTGACCTGAGGTGGAGACGCTCGCCCGTGAGAGCTCCGAAGCTCACCGCTGGCCCTGGCCTGAGTCAGCCTTGGGGTTTAGGCCGTTTAGGGTTTGTTATGGGTCTCAAGGGTTCAGATAGGATTTTTTGGTAGACTTGGTTGTGTGTGTGTGTTATTGTTTGT